TTTCCTCGAAACTCGTCTCATTTGGACATGGAAATTTTGGTTCTACACTGAGTGCCTCTCCAAACTCTCTTGCTGTAACCTTTGCTTCTTTGAATCCATTTTCTCTATATTTCACTAAAAGTCTTGTGTGTTGTTTAGTAAGGTAAGTGTTGAATCAAGCTGCATCACTGGACTCTGCATTATTTTGCTTACACTTGAGATTTTAACAAGAATGTCATACCAGATTACGATAGATGTTAGAAACTTGAAGCTGGATATTTTAGAGGCCAATGACTGTGCTTCACTTTTAGCTTTTGGATCTCTGGCTTCTTTCGAAATAGCAACCTGTGCTTCATCACTGTGTCAAATTTTCCCAGCAGTTGTACAAGGCCCAAAAAATTGCCATTTTTAGGCTGGTATAATTTCTCAACACTTCCTCTAACAGCAATATTGTTTGTCAATAGATATTCAACAATAGATAATAGATGTTCAAGAACACGACGCCAATGCTGCTTCTCTGACTCCAGTTTTGGGCATCAAGAGTTGTCTGATTTTTTAACCTTACATTCAACTCAGACCATTTGTAAATACTTTCAATGTGGTGTTGTGCCTTTTCATGTTGCGGTAATGTGTAACTAAAATTTTGTCAATCGTTAATAGCCATGGTTGTGATGTTAAAATTGCAATTGTTGAAAATCTTGCATGGGAAACAAAATACAGCATCCTTGCATGTAGAATACACAAGCCACCGTCTGTTGACGATTTCACCATTAGAAAGTCTTTTGTAGTAATTGTTTTCTGTTAATTTCCTACCTCTAATGTATTTAGGATATTCAAGACCTTCTATTCTCACAGGGCCTCTCTCAAATATAATGGTGCATAATTCGTTGTTTAAAGATTGCGGCCATGTGCCAATGTCATCTATATCTCATGCTAGTAAACAGTTTCAACTGTTATAATTTCTTGTTTTGTGTCTGCATCTGTTTCAAATGATAGTTCCGTGTTTTGTTGAGTTTCTTGAGCTTCTTCTGCATAAAAATTTTCTTTGGCAGTTACCTGATGATTTTGATCAACTTCGTTGTTTTCATGACGTACAAACTTAAGTATAGAACACTTCTGTGCTTGTATAGCTAATTCTATTTCATCTTTCCGTTTTCTTCTTTTGAGATCCGGAAAGTTATTTTCAATACGACATTATAACTTATAAGGGTGTTTTTTTAAAGAAATAACTGTTTAAATTATTGTCAGATTATCAGAAATATTATTTAAAATAACTAATCTAGGACCTTGAGCTAGTGTGGAGACACCTCACAAGGCAATCCACCCTGACTGGGACACAATAGAGTTGGAAACCGATGTCATTTTTACAAAGTCACTTTTTAGTTTTAAATATGTAGTGGACGTCAGTCTTAATATTAGTTACAACTCTATATCAACCTTATACTGTAAATAGATCAATGGCATTATTCAGTTTAAGAAGCTGGGTTTCCAAGCAGCGGGAAAATAGGACCGTAGTTTTATTCCTAGGTAAAGCACAAAGTCACCAAAATGAAGTCAACACAGAATCATCTCTTCTGGATTAAGGTAGGACAGAAATGTTACAGAAGTCCTATCCACTAAAATTAGTGCAGCGTGGACAGAGACAAGCTAATTTCTTTTTCCAACCTAACGTGCCCTTGTTACAGAAGGACTCTCTCTCTCCAGGTTTTGTCACTCATCCTTTCTGATAAACAATGTCAATTATGAAACTGAACTTCCATCACCAGTTCATTTTACATAGATAACTGAGTCATCAGATGATAACTTCTGTTCACTTGCAATCTTGACTGGATATCAGAGTACTGTGCTAGCAGCACAACTGCTTGAAGAGCCGCTCTTTTCCATCAAGAGCTTACTGGAAAAGAAAAAAAACAAAACCTTTGAGATATTTTTGTGTTGCACACACACCTCTAAGCTCTGCTTGTTCGTAAGTCTGACCTTAAATTGTGCCTTATTTTCGTTTGGAAAGACATTAGCAAATAGCAGCACATTTTGGGCACTGCTAGAAATACATGATAAATCACTGCCTCTAAAGTTCCATGAAAAGCTGACATTTTCACAGCTCTAGCATTATCTGCTGCACAGATTCTTCACTAGTAAAGAGATAAGTATATTACAGTTGTTGGAGGGCTCTATTTAGCAGTAACAGGGCTACAGGAAAGCCTGTCAACATATTTTGTTTCTCTGATGAAAGCTGGCCCACTCCCTCCCCCAAACTAAACTTGTCATAAATAATTGTCAACAACTTAATTTTCTGTTTTGGGCTAAGATTCATTCAATATTGAAATTGGATTCAGGATTCTTAGCAAGCATTTTTGATAAACAAAGTTGTTAAATAACAATCAAACATGATTTTGATAAAGGTATTTAAAATGTCACCAAAGTCTGGCAAACAAGGGAAAACCAGTCTATTCTGAAACCTGTGAAAAACATAAGGTTAAAAAAAAAATGCTCAAAGCTGATGAATGGCAACACAGTAGTGCTTTCATGCTTGGCTCAGCACCGGCCTGCTGGTCCAATAGCTGCAGTAGAGGAGGAGATAGGTAGAAAGCCGTGGAACCCTAAAATCCACGTCTTGGGGTGCAGAGTGGCAACAGCAGCAGCAAACTCTCAGGTCAGGTCACGCCACCGCGCATCACCGACCACGGTGAAGTGTGGCATCTCGGGGCCACGGGACCCACAGCAGCTCCTCCTGCCCCACGCGGCTACCCCGGGACCGGATGGATCGCTGCTGCGCCTGCTGGGCAAGAGGCGTGCTCCCCAGCCCAGCCAGCTGTGTGCATTCCAATCCAGCCCATGCGGTCACTTGGAGCAGAGGTGCTCAGGCTAGCTGCCAAGAAAGTAAGTCACTTTCACTTCCTCGGCATACAACCAGCCAGCCCAAGCAGCACCCATCCCCACACGGGGGGGGGGGGAGGGAGATGCGCTCAGCATTGGGGGGGACCCCACTTTGTGGGGGGGCAGGGAGAAGAACATAGGCTATGGGGGGCAGCAAAAGGATACCGCTGGAGCCACCTGGCCCACCTCACAGAAGCAGGGAGAAAGTCACACACAGGTGAGTTCCCACGCCCCTTCCCAGAGACCTCAGCAGCTAGTACCCTCCCTCAGAATGCACCACTGTGCCAGTGCATTCAGCTCTACAACCTGACCCCGCTCTTATCTGCTTGCTGTCCCGTCCCAGCGGTAGTGCCCCAAATTTAGTGGTGGCCTATGCAGCTGCCTAAGGACAGCCCTGTGCTTGAGACAGCTGCTGGGGAGGGACATGTGATCCCTCTTGTGGCTTCCCTTTGCTTCCCAGTCAGAATCTATTATTCTGCAGGGAAACAAAGAACTCGCCCGTGCACAGTGGCACAGAATTCCCCCAGGAGTATTATATGGAGTTTCTTAAACCTTCCTCTGAAACATCTGGTTCTGGACACTATCAGAGACAGTAGTACTGAAGTAAATGAATCACTGGTCTGCTCCGGTCTGGCAATTTCTGTTCATACAGGCTCCCCCTGCATTAACACAACGTACCACCCTTTGGTTTTCAATACTACTTAAGACTGTTTAAAATAAATCATAAACTTTCATAAATCAAAGTTTTAGGCCTAAACTACTTATTAATATTAAATTAATATTATTATTTTATTTTAAAATATGTTTTAAGTCTCCCCAAAAGACAGATCTCCTCTCAATTACTTGGATCTCCATATTATGCCATCCTTTAGGTAAGGAATGAAGCATGTACTAAACAGAACAAGCAACTGGCCAATAAAGACAAAATAGTTCCTATTTATTCTCATGTTTAATAAATACGCTGAAGCAATACAAAAACCCCAACCAGCATTTTCTTGCAAATGATTACTACCGCAAGGGTTCATTACATACAGGATGAAGTAAAGCTCCAAGTAAAATAAAACTCAGACTGAAAAAAACATCCAGGCAAGAAAAACTCTCTCCACAATAGAAACAGAATTCAAATGCATATCCAGACACGCACTAACGCTTCATGTGAGAGAATTTACAAAGGGGACAACAACCGCTATGTCATCTCCACGTAACAGATCAGCCGGCAGAAAATGAAGGCTTAATAGGCCTTGAAAAGTGCCTATTAATAGCGCCCTCCCGCGTCCACCCCCAAAACCACAAAGGCAAGTTCCCGGGCACAGTTCGGCAACACCCCCCCGCGAAGCACGCGCCAGGTGCCCCGACCTCAGGGAACGCGGGCGGCGCCTGGCCACGGCAGAAGCTCCGCCCCGTTGGCTCCGGCAACGGAGAGGGTCTGACGCCCCCTGCAGGGAAGTCGTGGAAATACGGAACTGAACCCGGCCCGACAACTTTCCCCGAGGGTCGCTCCCATCCGCCAGGCCCGCGACGGGGGCCACACGCGTCCCTGGGCGCCCGGCGGGTGTCACGCTGACCGCCAGGCTAAGGCGCCAACGGGAAAATGAAGCTGGTCGGCTCACTTCACACCCCCCGCCCCACAAACACTCGCAGCCAGAGCGGCAGCACGCGGGGCAGAGACCCCTCCCCCGGGGGCAGAGCCCGCTGCACCCCCGCGAGGTCCCACCCCCCCCCCCCCCGGGCCTTTCCCCCGCCCCCAGGCCAGGCGTGGGCGCGCGGTTACCTGGCGGGGCAGCCCCTGCGGCGCGCGGGGCAGGGTCTCGGGGAGGCCGTCGCCGGCTCGAGACAACAGCTTCGGAAGCCGGACGGGGCAGGCACGGCGCCGCCAGCCCGGGGAGAGGCGCCCCAGAACCAGCGGCCACTTCCTCCTTCCGAGGGGCTGGGAGGCCCGGGCTGGCAGAGCAGCCTGCCAGTCGCCTCCCAATCCCAAGCAGCGGGCACCACTCAGCCCCCGACGGGCGGCCGCGCCCCTCAGACCGCCCCCTCCCCCCAGCGCCCAGGACCTCGGAACAAAGCGGCAGGCTCCACCCCTATCCCTAGCCGCTGGGGGCTCGCGCGGGCGCAGACGCGCCCAGTGCCGTAGCCGAGAGCGCGAGCGGCGGGCACGCGCCTGACGTGGCGCGCCCGAAGCTGTGGGGAGGCGCAACCGCCTCCGGAGGCGCGTGCCCAGGACAGCAGTTTGTTTGAGCCGGACTGTCCCGCGCCCGGCCCTCCCGAGCCAGAGGATAACGGGGATCCGGGAGATCGGGGTACGGCGGAAGGGAGCGGTGGGGACGAGTCCGGGGGGACCGGGCGGTGAGGGCGCTCGAAGGGAGGAGGAGATCGGGGTGGGGGCACGGGACGGCGGGGGGTGGCCTTGTGGGGCCAGGGGGGAGCTGGGGGAAGGAGGGATGGGCTGCTGATGGGAGAGCCCAGTGGGGTGTCGCGGGATTGCTGCGGGGGGACGGGGTGGCCGTTGGTGACTGCGGGGCATCGTTCAGTAGAAGAGCCTCCGCCGGGGAATGGCTTTGTGGGGCTGATGGTTCCCTCCCCCCCCCCGGCATTACCGTGAGGCCGTCGCTATCCTTAAAGCCGGGGGGTGGGTTTTGTCTTAAAAGCTGTTGTCGCTTTTCACTTTCCTTCCGAAATTCCGTTTGGTTCGAATTCTCTAGGGCTCTGCGCGGGCTCTGCCCAAAGCGACTTTGTACAAGTTTAAAGAAAATCGGTTCTGACATGTTTGTGCAGAGCGAGGGGATTTTTTTTTTCTTCATGCTCCACACGCTCAGACACTTCTTTGCATTTGTGTAACTCACAAACATTTATTTTTAAGCTTCATATTGCTGATGGACTTAGTCCTTAAGAAGTACCGAACGAAGCAAGTAAATATCTGTATAGCTGTAGAATGTTTATATTTATTTATGGATGTGGATTTCGGTCTCAGTCCTGCAAAGAGAAATTTGCAGAGCCCCATTGACTTCATTTTGGGCCCTGTCGCGGTGCAGTGGTAGACTCCAGGCACACAGCTCTCTGGACAGGATGGGAGCTGTAGGTATAAACACACTTGGAGGGGATAGCCCTATGATAAATTGCAAAACTATGTAATAAATGTATTTATCATGCATCTTTGCCCACTTCACTTGCTTTTCCCCCACTAGTCCATTTCTCTTGGATTTATTCTTATGTTCCAAACTGCTTCAGACAATTTTTTTCTTTCAACTTGCCAAATAATTATTTTCTTCTCCCCAGACATGAAATTGTCTCCTAAAAAATAACCCCAAGCCAAACTCCATGATTGATATGAGTCAGTTCTAGGTCATTCACTGAGTTTTTCTAGATTTAAAAGTGTGACTGTTTTAATATGTCATGGTCCTGAAAGTCTAGAAACATGAGTTTTGTTGCATTGGAAAGTAGAGATTGTCAGCTTCCTGCCTGAACCCAATGAGGCTTGCCTTTAGCCCCCCAAAAGATCTGAGATATTGGACTTTAAAAAGGTGACTTATTTCTAAACCAACGTTTTAAATAAACAATCGCACAAAGGGAAATGAAGAATTAAACTCTCATCTGCTAGTAGCTACTACGCTACTAATAGCTTCTCACTGGAAAAATAAAAATAGTCCAGTTCTAGGGGAATGACTCAAAAAATACAGAAAATATGGAAATATTAATGCACTAGTTATATACCCAGAAAAATGGAGAACAAATAGATATTTGGTTACCATTTATTTGATACTCCAAAATACATCCACCTGCAGAAAAAAAAAGTGCACTCTGTCCAATTTTTTTTTGACTTTCTGGTCTGTTAAATGTGTAATTCACTCAATTTAATAAAATAATTAGAAACAGTAAGTCACAGATGAAATGATGCTCATTTTGTAATATGGTAAAGTGTCACACCCTGTTAAATAGAGACATAACTATGGGTGTGCAGAGTTTCCTTTCCCCAACAAAAATGGGCTGCAGTGCAGCTAGGGGCCACTGGACCCAGCAGAGTCCAGCTCACACATAGAAGACACTGCTGGGGGGAGGGAGCTAGAGGTTTCCTGGCAGCTGCAGTTGCCAGCATGCCCTGTGGGAAGGAGAGGGCAGCATGCAGAAAACTCCATGCAAGCCTGGGATCAAGCATCAGGCTGTTTCTCCCTCTGGATCCCTGTGCTCGGGGATGGGGGGATGGACAGATGGCTGGGCTCTGGGGGGGAAGGGGATGCGAGTATCTGGGCTCTTACCTCGGCGTGGGGGGCTCCACTAGCGTGTCTCTGCAGCTCCTACGCGGCAGAGGGGCCAGGGGGCTCCGTGCACTGCCTGTGCCTGCAGACCCCGCCCCGCAGCTCCCATTGGCTGCAGTTCTTGGCAATGGGAGCTGCATGGCTGGTGCTTCTCGCAGGAGCAGCACTCGGAGCCCCCAGACCCCTCCACTGCCTAGGAGCTGCAGGGATGCGGAGCCGGGTAAGGAGCCCCTGCCAGCCCTGACAACCCTCCCACCGAGCACCAGCAGGGGTCCCACTCCCGGGCCGTGCACCGTGGCCCGCCCCAGCACCGGAGGGGGTCCTGGGTCACACGCTGCTGCCTGCCCCTCTCTCCTCACCAGCACCAGTGGGGGACCCGTGCCACCTCCCCCAGCACCCATGGCGCCCCCGGACCGCCCCCGTCCCCCCGCCCCAGAGCACCTGTGGCTCCCCCGCCCAAGTTTTACTTTAGGGTAAATAGTAAAAGTCATCGACAGGTCACGGGCTGTGAATTTTTGTTTACTGTCCATGACCTGTCCATGACTTTTACTAAAAATACCCGTGACTAAAATGTAGCCGTAATGATGATTCAAGCAGGCTGCAGATATTCTTAAGGGGCCAGTTGCACTTGCTTACAGCTTAAAAACCCCAGGTGTTTCTTTCATAGGCTAAAAATCCCTTTAGCCTGGGTCCAGCACTTCCCCCCCCCAGGTCAGTCCTTGTTCCTCCTGTGTTTCCCAGAGTCTCTTTGGTGCAGGGAGTCAGTGAAGAACCATGATGATGTCACTCCCCTGCCTTAAATAACTTTTGCATATGGCAGGAACCCTTTGTCTCAAAGCTTGGTTCCCATGCCAGACAGTTGTAAAACACTGGTATTCCAAGATGGAGTCCAGTACCAGGTGACCTGGTTACATGCCCCTGTAGTGCCACAGAAGCCATTGCTTGGAGGCTATTTGTAGCATCCTCAGGAAGACATCCCCTCTCCCCACCCCACCCCACCCCAGGAGATAAGCTTCTTCTAAGGCCTATTGTTTTCCCCTAATGGCTCATCAACCTGAATGGGCCCTTCCCAGCCAGCCATCTAGACCAGGGGTTCTCAAATTGGGGGTTGGGACCCCTCAGGGGGTCGCAAGGTTATTACGTGGGGGGTTGCGAGCTGCCAGCCTCCACCCCAAAGCCCACTTTGATTCCAGCATTTATAATGGTGTTAAATATACAAAAAAGTGTTTTTTAATTTATAAAGGGGGGTTGCACTCAGAGGCATGCTATGTGAAAGTGGTCACCAGTACAAAAGTTGGAGAACCACTGATCTAGACTGAGCATCTTTTGCCTACCTGGCATTCCCCAGCTGTAAACACATTTGTAATACAGATAGTAAATATTCCTAACTTCAGATACAAAAATGGTACATGCATACAAATGGGATAATCCTATTCAGTAAATCATATCCTTTCCAATGATATCTCACATGACCTATCTTGCATAAAATACATTATCATTATGTCTTAATCATATCATAATAATATTACTGTGAAGAATATGAGGTGCAGTGTTACACTGGGCTCTCGGGGGGAGAGGTTGTGGGTATCTGGCCCCCTGGCTGGGCCAGATACCGGCGGGGGAGGGGGCAGAGAAACAGGAACTGGGTGTCATAGGGGTTTCTTTAACTCTCTACTCCTAGGGGAATTTTTGTGTGTGTCTGTATTGTTATAGACATACTTGCTGACAGGTATTTTGAAATAAATTACCAAAATAATTGAAACTGGTGTGATTATGTAGTGTTATTTTGACAAATAAAATTTGCAGAATTATAAAATATTGTATGCAGAATTTTTAAATTTTTGGCACAGAGTGCCCCCAGGACTATACAGTAAATAATGAACCTGGCTTTATGGGTGGACATATTTAAAAAGTTATAATAGAAATATTCCTAAATTAGACTCCCAGATGATTCACAATCCCATATTTTCTATGTCTTAAATGTGTATCTCCCCTTTTGCTGTGTGAAAGACTCAAAGTATAGTACAGCAACAGATTAGTTGATCAAACATGAGAAATAGTGAAACTGATTAAACAGTGCTGTCTTAAAAAAACCAAAATGTCGTCTAATTTCTTCTAATCTCTTTTATGTACAGTAATCTTAAGAACATCTTGAAAACTCTAGATGCCTATGCAGCCTGAAGGAGTTAAAAGTTTTCCTGGACAATTGCCATCAGCTTATGTAGAACCCAAGTTTTCATTTTTTTAAAAGAAATTAAATCTATAGTCTTAGTGCTATGGAAAATTAGACAATTTCTGCTATTCCGAAAGTATGGAAGGGGATAGCTATGTAATGGAAAAACGAATAGTTATCGTGACATTTTCTTGAAAATGATTAATGTAACTGAATAAACATCGATGTGGTATACATCAACAGCAAGCAGTTAATTTTTAGTGCAATTGCCTAACTGCATATTTTGGGAAGTCTCTGTGTGAACTTGGAAGGGACTAAACATAACTCATTTTGCTTTCTTCTGCTAGATCTCTGGTTGGTTTCTGTTTCCTAAAGACTTTCTTAAAATGTCTGACATGAAGCAAAGAAAGAAAGCTGTTCCTTCACCGAAGCACAACGAAGATCCACAAAAGCAGAGCAATTATGGAATGATCTCAGGTCCCAGGAGCAGCAGCAATAGTCAGAATTCCTTTTGGATAGACTCACGGACAGCCTTAAACCTGCTTTGCCTTGTTGCTTGTCTACTGCTCACCTGGTAAGTGATCCTCTAAAGGTAACTGGATACAGTCAGTTTCACACTTTCAATTTTACTCTTTCTGGTTTCCTCCATGTCATATACAATGGAATCCACTATATACGACATTAGTAGAATAGTGTTCAGTTCTGGTGTTCACAGTTTAAAAAAGATGTTGACAAAATGGAAAGAGCTCACAAAAGAGCCCCCAGAATGATTAGAGGTCTGGAAAACCTGTCTTACAGTGGGAGACTACAGAAACTCAATCTATTTATCTTAACAAAGAGAAGGTTAAGAGGTTACTTGATCATGATCTCTAAGTACCTACACAGGGATAAGATTTCCAATAGTGCAGGGTTCTTTAATCTAGCAGGCAAAGACATAAAAATATCCAATGGTAGGAAGGCAAAGCTGGAAATTCGGCCTAGAAATAAGGCACTATTTTATTTTATTTTATTTTATTTTATTTACAGTGAAGATAATTAATCATTGGAATAACTTGTCTAAGGATGTGGTGGATTCATCACCATTTCAATTCTTTAAATCAAAATTGGATGTCTTTCTAATCGATATGTTCTAGCTACACCAAAAATTTTAGGCCCTAAAGTCTATGGGTGAAAGACTTGCCTCAGTGAAGTCTATTGCAAAACTCCCATTTACTTCACTGGGACAAGAATTTCACCCAATGAATGATTGAGTAGTCACAGGACTGTCTAGATTAGAAGAATAAAAATTGCATAATTTTGGTTCTCCTTAAACTGACCCACATTTGGGATAGGTATAGATTACAATTTCTTAGTTTTTGCTCCAGACCTCAGTCTCAACAGTCGATTATTACAGATGCTCTGGAGTTCTCACTTTAATTGCTGTACATTATCGTAACAAATAAAGAATTATAAAATGTATGTGAGAGAAAATAATCTTCTACATAAGTTGATTCCAAAAAGGGGATACCTGGACAGTCTGCATTATCCCCATCTTGATTTGGGATTGATAAACTTCCAGCAAATTAACCTTCTTTCACTGCCATCTTAGGGCCCTCTCTGTTGTCTCCCATTTCATCCTGGTTCAGCTATAGTGGTGCTGCTTGCCTACATGTCCCCATCTGCAATCTCACAAACAGCCTACAGAATGTAAGTCACTACCAGCAATGCCTGTGTGAGAGCTGCAACCAGCCAGCCACACCTTGGCTCTTACGAGCCTTGGGTATAGTACAGAGTGCCCCAATATACTTCGAGTCTTAGATTTCCCCCCATGAATATATGTTCTGTACTGTCCAGCCCTCTCCTGGACAATACAAATATGTTAAGTCTGTTTAAGATGAAAATATGATATTTTATTATTTTAAATAGTTTGTCAGATAGTTCAATTTAAACACATTGGATTAGCTAAAACAGTAATGAAGTAGATAAAACAGTAAAACAAGTTTTTTAACTACAAAGAGAGAGATTTTAAGTGAATCCAAGTAATGAAGCATAAAAGTCAGAAGTGGTTACAAGAAAAGTAAAAAACACAACTGATGCCCAGCTTAACAAACTTCGTTAAATTCAAAGCAAAGTTTTTCTCACCACGTGCTCTCAACAGTCTTACTGGCCAAACTTCTTAGGCCACGATACCTTCTTCTCTTTAATGGCTGCTTCCTTTGTCCCTTCTTGTGCTGTGAATCGAGAGAGAGAGAGGAGGGGGTCCCTTTGTGGCATTTATTTCTCCTTTTTATAGTGTTAGTCCTCCTTCTGGAAAATACTTCCAGCTGAGATTCAGGAGACAGAGGCTTGGCCTTCAGTACAGACTTGTCAGTATAACTACGTTGCTCAGAGTGCAACACAGTTATACCAACCTAACCCCCCATGTAGACAGCACTGTGTCGATGGGAGGGCTTCTCCTGTCAACAAAGCTACCACTTCTCAGGAAGGTAGAGTTCCTATGCCGACAGGAGAAACTCTCCCTTTGGCATAGATAGTGTCTGCACTATGGCCTATATCGGCACAGCTGCAGTGCTGTATGTGATGACAAGCCCAGAGTGCATATGTAAGGATAATCCCTGCTGATTTTCCCACCTGTTTGTACTCCCTTTGTCTCCCTTCCTGCTTGATGACTCTGTTTACTGCTTAAATGCTAATTAAGCAGAGCACATATTCTTTTGTTTGAGACAGACCTGTTTGCCAGCTTCTGCTGTGGTTTGGAACATGTGTCAATAACATTATACAGGAAAATAGTATAAACGATGTTGTCACACATTTTATCAGGACTACATTGACCAGCACATTATGAGTTTTCAGATACCTCACAAAACCTCCTTTGCACTAAGATTATTACAACAGTGTGTAGGGTGTGGACACGGGTACATTCTGTCAAACCCGCTTTATTACTATATGTTTAAGTTGTTTACAGAACTGGCAACCCTGAAACCTACCAAAAAAAGATAATTTTAACTACATTTTTTGTTGTTTAAAATAAATGTAATGCTTGAGAGAGGTGCTGGACTGAGAGCCTGGAGAATAAAGTCTATTTCTCCACAGAACAGGTACATCACAGGCAGCAGCAATACAAACTTTCCCACAACACAATAGCAATGGCTAAAATTAACACAAAATTAGAACTAGCTTGGCCCTTCCTAATTCAGAGCTCCCACATGGTTGTGAGAAGTCTGGGAAGAAAGGTCAAATGATCTTGTTTTGTTTAACTTGGCCTTCTAATCAGCTAACCATTTAAAAAAGTAATTTTCACTAAGGGCTTCCTTTACCATGAAGGTACTTTTTGTCCCACATATGTACATTAGGTCACAATGAAGCAGTTATGTAGGTTTGTGATAGCTAATTGAGTAGAACACACACACGTATACACACTCTCTCTCACTTTAAATGCAAATTATTATTTGTTGTCTATTTCCTTATTTTGGTAGTCTATAACTTCAATATGAAGACAGACCAAATTCATTAAATAAGCCCGGCTCTTTTCTAAGGCTCTGATCATGCAAGGAGCTGTGTGAAGGTAGAATCCTACACTCGTGGTGCTCCTTGCAGGATCAAGGCCTAAAACATTTAATGCGTACCAATTATATTCACTAATTTTTTCATGATTTGCAGGTTCCTATTTCAGCAGTCAGGCCAACTTGCTCACATGGAAAAAAAGTATCATTTATTACAGCTGGAAACTGGAAAATGCCAGGATATGGAAAATAAAGTTAACTTAATTTCTGAAAAGGTAATCATTGGAATTTTAATTTGAGAACTTATATTGAACATTAGCTAAAATGTATTAATTCATATTGACTTAGTCAAAGTTAACAAATGTGTTTTGAGATTATGGACATTTTTAGATAACCAGAATTACAATTTTATATCTCTGAAATTAGACCATTTAAAAATGTTTATTCAGTCATCTTATTGGGAGTTAATGGGACATCTGGTTGGCCATCAGATCTGGCTTCTGTTCTGTTCTAAACTCATAAGACTATGTTGCTTAATATCACATATGTAAGTAAAAGCATGCCGACAGGTGGATGCTTATAAAGAGATACTAACATTGCTAAGGAAATTCTGCCGTCGTTGAAGTCAACTGCATAACTCCCATCAACTTCAGTAAGGCCAGTATTTCACCCTGTGTGAAATAGCTACTTGAAAATGTTTCCCTTTACTTATATTTTTGTTTTTCATTGTTGATCTCTTTAGGACCTTCAATACTATTTTCATGTGTAATTTCATAGCAATAAAGTGCTGAATTTTTTTTAATGTCTAGAATATGTATGACATCATTCACCAGATGATTATAATCTTAAAGTATGTCAAATTTGGGGCTTAAATTTGTCGATCCATTAACCATGCATATTAAGTAACTGGATCCTAATGTTTCTTTTCCAGAAACTTAAGTCCTCCCTTGAATTCATATGGCTCAATTTAGAAGTTTAATTCTCAATATAGTTCAGCTACATATTGTTTTAAATAGAAATTCTTGTATGGTAAATTGGTCTTGCTCCCACTTCAGTCTATGTCTTCTATACTGCTAATTTAAAATCTTAAAACTGCTTGTCCAGGCTGATTCTCCACTCTGACACTGTGGGTGCCGAAGGTGGGGGCCCGCAAGGATTAAAAAATTAATACTGGCTTACCACCAGGCTTGTATTAAACTCCCAAGGTTACAGCTTCTCTCTGACCTTGGATGGGTAGATGCTGCCACCATCCAAGTGCAAAAAAACCCCTTGAAATCAGAAAGGCGCACTTGGGAATTCCTTCCTGTGGGGGGTTACCCTCAAGCCCTTTCACACACACACCCACACACCCGGGAAGAGCTGAGAAAGAACACAAAGGAAATTAGCTGTTGCCCCAGCTAATTAAACAACATATGCACAAACCTCTTAGGACACCAAATATCTAATCCTGTTCTTAAAAAAAGGTAAATTTTATTAAAAACAAAAAGAAAGAAAATACATCTGGAACTTAGGCTTTTGCTAGATTTAAAGAACCCACTTACAAAAATTAAACATCAACCTTCTTGAGGTCCAGCGAAGGTTACAAACAAGCAAAACAAAAACATTTGGGGTTAGCACAGAGAAGTCCACAAGCCAATAAGAAATAAACAGAAATAAACCTAATCGCATCTTCCTAGACATTCCCTAATTTACTTATATATCTGGGGATTCAGATAAGCAATCTCTAGGTATGATCTGATGGTTTTTCATACCTGGCTTTCAGCTTCTCAGAGCATAACTGCTCCCTGTTCCCCTCTTTCCTGGAGAAGCACAACACACAGACAAAGGGAAGTTTTTTCCCAATTTTTAAAAGTTTTAGCCCTCCCATTGGCCCTTTTGGTAAGGTGCCCTCTCCTTTCCTTTTACCTGTGGGCTGGTTAACCCTTTACAAGTAGAGAACAACCACCAAGAGGGATTCCATAGCCAACTGGCTGGCTGGGTGTCCACAAAAGGGAGCTATCTCCCCTCTCATGTATCACACTGCTGATTTGCAGCAATGTGTTCTTTTCCTTTCATAGTGTTGTGTTGTCTGTTAGAAAAGTTAGTTTTACTCCAAGATCATTTCCTGTATGGTAGAGATAATGATAAAAGCATAGCAAACCAAGTGCTTATAGTGCCATTTTAGCATTGATCTTATAATGTTGACAGTCAAATAGGATGCAATTTGAATCTCTGTACACTTCAGTCTAGAGAGCTGACTGCAAACTTGGAATTCCCTCTTGTGTGCAGGATGGATAAAAATCAATGACTTTTTAAAAATGGTTTTTTTAAATTTAAATTGGATTATTTTATTTTGTTTTTTAAATTATAGTAAGTTTTTCTTTTTAAAAAATTAACCTGTTTAAAATTAAATCTGAATTTAATATGAAATATGTTAGGCCTAACCTTATAATCTTTTATAACATTTAAATAAAAAATAAACATGCTAAATCCATGAGCCTCTATCAAAAACTTTGAGTTAAAAACTGCTTTTCTGTATAAAGAGAGTCAGGAAAAACATCTAACTTTTGACATCAAGTTTTATAAATATATCACAATAGGTAATGTACTGTATTAAGGGCTTATTTGTGTAATAAAAATAAAATTTATATGCTGTTGTGTGTTCAGTTAAATTCCAGTTACCATCCTAATGCAGTTTGAAAGAAATCATGGGTACAAAATTCTTTATCTAGGTAAATAAGCACCATTTTCTAACACACGAAAAGTTTAGAATTAATAAGAATCTGAAAATACTAAGCTGCATAATTGCTTAAATAAATATATATGCTTATAGTGTACCTCCTTGGTAGCAAAAAGATGCTCCCTTTACAGCTTCATTTGTGCTCTTCAATTGATCAAGGAGTATTAAAAAGTTCTCCTGTGCTCCCTGACTGAAATTGTGGAACCCATTGAAGTCAGTGGCAAAATTCACCCTGTCTTCTGCCTGAGTTTAGTGTGTTGTTTTCTTAGTGCTCACATCTCCTGCTAGCTCACGCAGTGAAGAACCACTAATATGTAACCCAGTGTCCGGTTCCCTATATGGTAGTGCATTGTGGAGACACTAGACTGGTGATCTAGCCCTGTATCATTTGGTCTGTATCAAAGGTCGCGATATTTGATTTGTATTTTGAAGGTATTTGTTCTAAGTTTTTTGCTCAATATTTTTACAGCAATAAGTTATGGCAGTTCATTTTTTATAAATAGAAACTGAGGTCAAAGTGACTTGAATTTAATAACTCTGGTTCTAAGTAACAAATTGACTCGAGTTACTCACTCCTAAATAAAAATACATGTGTGAAAACTGCCCTAGAAATTCTCTTTATAGCTTTCACATGCCAGAATAAATTGGAACAATAATATTTTAAACATAAATTATTAAATTAAATAGGAAGATTGGAAATGTGTATCAAGTCAATAAAGTGCTCAATTTTTTTGTATGTCTAGAATATGTATGACATCATGAGCTTTCTCCAAGAGACTGACTGAGCCTTATGTATATATTGTACTCCCAGTTGTATAAATATAAGTGCTCTTCCAGTCTAATATTAAGTAGACATGGACATTGTTTTGTGTTACAAATGCAGCTTGAGTCTTCCGAAAGTATCCTGCAGGAAGCTACCTCATCCATCTCTGTGATGACCCATTTTGAGCAGGAAGTGTCCACTCTCCGTAACATCATACAGGACATTCAGAACAGTGAGCAGACGTTCTCTGAAAAGATGCAAAGCATTAATGAGACATTCCAGAATGTCATGGACTCCTGGAAAAGAAGCCTGGATGAAATGAATGCAAACACTAGTAGTTTAAAATCTGAAGCAAAATTCATACATACTGAAGTTACGACCCATATAAATACTGCTGATCAAAATATGAAGTCTCTTTCAGAAAGATTAAAAGATTTAGAAGACAGTACAATAAGAAATATTAAAACATTAAAAAGACAGGAAGAAGATGAGCTTTCTAGAGTTGAACAGCAGCTGGAGTTGGATACAAAGACAGTTGAAAAATTAGAAGAAGAACAGAATACCTTGTTAGCTAGAGACATAGATTTGAGTCAGAAGCTTACAGACTATGAACCGAAAATTGAGGAATGCAAGACCCACTTACCAACAATTGAAAATGCCATTCAGTCCATTCTTAGAGTATCAAGTGAGCTGATAGGTATAGAGAAAAAAATGGAAGACTTGACAGTACAGATGTTTACTATGGAAGATGAGATGCTAAAAACAGTGTCAAATATAATGGAAATGCAAAAGGTTCTTGAAAGCATGCAGTATGACAACAGCATATTAAAACTGCAAAATGAAATAATTGTTTTAAAAGAAAAAGTATATGACATTACAGTATCTTCAAATACAAGAGAAGTAGTACCTTTAGAATACAATCTAGAAAATGAACAGAGTGAGGGTGATGATCAGTGAATTCAGGCTCATTTTAATTTATGTATATTACTTGACAATATGGACAATATTTATAGCTCAGTTATGTTAATGTGTTTATAAACAAACGATAACCAAACACCACTAGTCCAACAAACTTTAAAAATAGCAGGGGTCTTGTCATTGCTTTTTATTAACATTGGATCAGACCTTACATGCCTAAACTATACTAGAGAGAAAAAAAAGCAAATGTAATGGGGGAACAGACAGACTCTTTTTCATGTATTTTATAATGATTATCTTGAATGTCCATGAAGTTCTTTTTCATTAAAAGGAAATTTGAACCAAAGTATTTAGATGCAAGAACATCTGGATGTTAAGTCGGAATTTTAAGCACAATATTCTGTATTTAAATTTATATTCATTCATTTTTTCTAATTATAGCTTTTTGCAAAGTTATATTTCATGCTTTTGTATTAGCTACATTATAATATATGAAAAATTAAAAACCTGTTTCTGAGCAGGTTCCATGAATTGTAGTCTGATTCTAACATACCATATTGATTATAACAAACAACAGTTTCATATATTTGGTTCCATTCAATAAAATTAGATCACAATTTACACCTCTTTTGTGGGGACAAAAGTCTGTTCCTGGTTAATGGAATGGAATTATTCCAGATTTACACTGGTGTACTGAGAGCAGAGAATTTGACCAGGAGTCCATCCATACTATTCCATACAGGAGATCCTAGTAGTGTACACACGTGCCCCCAAAAGAGCTGTAATTGTGATCAATTTTACTTACTGGAATAATCCAAAAGTTTTCTTCTGATGTCAGTTTAAATTCAGAAAGCACTGTCGTTACAGGGACCCTTAGATTTTGGGTCTGCACCTAACTATGTTACGGTTTTCTCTACTGCCAATAATTGTAATATTTATTAGGGCTGTTGATTTAATAGCAATTAACTCATGCAATTAACTCAAAAAAAATAATCGCAATTTAAAAAATTAATCGTGATTAATCACAGTTTTACTCACACTGTTAAAGAATAGAATACCAATTGAAATTTATTAAATATTTTGGATGTTTTCCTATCATTTTTAAATATATTGATTTCAATTACAACACAATATACAAAGTTGACAGTGCTCACTTTATATTATTACTTTTTATTACAAATATTTGTACTGTAAAAATGGCAAACAAAAGAAATAGTATTTTTCAGTTCACTTCATACAAGTAACATAGTACAATCTCTTTATTGTGTAAATGCAACTTACAAATGTAGATTTTTTTTGTTACATAACTACACTCAAAAATAAAACAATGTAAAACTTTAGAGTCTACAACTCCACTCAGTCCTACATCTTGTTCAGCCAATTGCTAAGACAAACAAGTTTGTTTACATTTATGGGAGATACTGCTGCCCGCTTCTTGTTCACAATGTCACCTGAAAGTGAGAACAGGCATTCGCATGGCACTTTTGTAGCCGGCATTGCAAGGTATTTATGTGCCAGTTATGCTAAACATTCCTATGCCTCTTCATGCTTCGGCCACCATTCCAGATGACATGCTTCTGTGCTGATGATGCTCATTTAAAAAAAGAATGCATTAGTTAAATTTGTGACTGAACTCCTTGGGGGAGAATTGTATGTCTCCTACTCTGTTTTACCCACATTCTGCCATATATTTCATGTTATAGCATTCTCGGATGATGATCCAGCACGTGCTGTTCATTTTAAGAACACTTTCACTGCAGATTTGACAAAACACAAAGAAGGTACTAATGTGACATTTCTAAAGATCGCTACATCGCTCGACCCAAGGTTTAAGAATCTGAAGTGCCTTCTAATATCTGAGATGGACATGGTGTGGAGCATGCTTTCAGAAGTCTTAAGGGTACGTCTACAGTACGAAATTATTCTATTTGAATTTTCGGAAGCTATTTTATACATTCGGTCTTCTGTGTCCCCATCAAAGCGGGTGAATTCGGCAGATTGCATCAACAGTACCGAGGCTAGCATTGAATGTCGGAGCAGTGCACTCTGGGTAGCTATCCCACAGTTCCTGTAGTCCCTGCGGCCCATTGGAATTCTGGGTTAATTTCCCAGTGCATGATGGGGCAAAAACATTCTCGCAGGTGTTTCTGGGTGTGTGTCATCAGAAACCTACGTCAGACAATCATTTCGCGCCTTTTTGGCATACTGCTTTCAGCAGACGGTGCACTGCTGCTCTCCTGCTACTATGAATCCACCTCTCATTTTCTCTCATCTTCCTATGTAATCTCTACTATCTACTCTTTCTCTTCCTCATCAAACGCTTCTGCTGCCAACTCTGCTCGGCTACCGTGAACCGAACAGCACAACTTCTGCTGCCAACACTGCTCTCCCGCTATTGCCACACTTCCGAGCTTCTCCATGTTATCTGTCCTGGGCTCCCACTTCCGTGAAAGCCACAGAAGACAACCATTTTCCGCCTTTGTTCGGCTACCATGAACCGAACAGCACAGCTTCCGCTGCCACTCTGCTCTCCTACATTTCGCACCCTTTTTCCAGGATTACCTGTGCAGGCGCCATAGCCATGGAGCCCAATCAGATCTCCGCTGCAGTTTTGACCATTGTAAATACCTCGCGCATTATCCAGCAGTATGTGCAGTACCTGCAAAACTGGACAAGGAAGTGACAACAGCGCGATTATTATACTGAGGAGGACATGGACACAGAAGGCATGGCATGTGGCAATTGGGAGATCCTGGTGGTGTTGGGCCAGGTTCATGCCGTGGAACGCTGATTCTGGGCCCGGGAAACAAGCACAGACTGGTGGGACCGCATAGTGTTGCAGGTATGGGATGATTCCCAGTGGCTGAGAAACTTTCGTATGCATAGGGCCACTTTCATGGAACTTTGTGACCTGCTGTCCCCTGCCCTGAAGCGCAAAGACACCAAAATGAGAGCAGCCCTCACAGTTGAGAAGTGAGTGGCCATAGCCCTATGGAAGCTTGCAACGCCCGACAGCTACCAGTCAGTCGGAAATGAGTTTGGAGTGGGGAAATCTACTGTGGGGGCTGCTGTGCTGCAAGTAGCTAACGCAATCATTGACCAGCTGCTATCAAAGTGACTTTGGGAAATGTGCAGACCATTGTGGATGGCTTTAATGCGCTGGGCTTCCCTAACTGCGGCGGGGCGATAGATGGAACGCATATCCCTATCTTGGCCCCGGAACACCAGGACAGCCAGTACATAAACCGCAAGGGGTACTTTTCCATGGTGCTGCAAGCACTGGTGGATCACAAGGGGCGTTTCACTGACATCAACATGGGATGGCCGGGAAAGGTGCATGATGCTCACATCTTCAGGAACTCTGGTCTGTTTGAACAGCTGCAGGAAGGAACTTACTTCCCAGACCAGAAAATTACTGTTGGGGATGTTGAAATGCCTATAGTTACCCTTGGGGACCCAACCTACCCCTTAATGCCATGGCTCATGAGGCCATACACAGGCACCCTGGACCGTAGTAAGGAGCAGTTCAACTATAAGCTGAGCAAGTGCAGAATGGTGGTAGAATGTGCGTTTGGACGTTTGAAAGTGCGCTGGCGCAGTTTACTGAGTCGGTTAGATCTCAGCACAACCAATATTCTAATTGTAATTGCTGCTTGTTGGGTGCTTCACAATATCTGTGAGAGTAAGGGGGAGACATTTATGGTGGGGTGGGAGGTTGAGGCAACTCGCCTGGCGGCCAGTTTCACACAGCCAGACAACAGGGTGATTAGAAGAGCGCAGCAGGGCGCGCGGCACATCAGAGAAGCTTTGAAAGCAGTTTCATGACTGGCCAGGGTAGGGTGTGACAGTTGTGTTTGTTTCTCTTAAAGTTACCCGCCCCCCTATATATCGATGAAAGGAAATAAAGTCACAGTTGTTTAAAAAAACGTTCTTTATTATTTGTTGCACAAAACATTGAGAGAATTCGGAAGCTAGATGGGGGAGGGGGGTATTGGGTTAGGGGGGGTGGAGGAGAAGGGAAGGACAAGTCCAGAAACCAAATCAAAATTTAGGATATGCCAGCTTTCTGCTGCTTGTGCAAACCTCTGGGGTTGACTATGTGAGTCCCAGCAGCCTCCTCCCTCCCCCTCCGTGTTCTTGGGCATCTGGGTGAGGAGGCTATGGAACTTGGGGAGGAGGGAGGGCGGTTATTCAGGGGCTGCAGCCTTTCCCGCATTAGATCCACCATACAGCGGAGCATGTCAGTTTGCTTGACCATAGCATCCTGCCTGCTCTCATCGCACATGTCCCTCCTCTCCCCGTATTCATGTAATGCTTTATGCAACTCCACAATTGTTTGCCTCCACGCATTCAGTTGGGCCCTATCAGTGCAGGAGGACTGCATAAGCTCGGCAAACATGTCGTCCCGACTTTGGTTTTTCCTCCTTCTAATATGGACCAGCCTCTGGGACGGAGTAGATAGGGGCTGCGTTGAAACATTTGCACCTGCTGCGGGAGGAAAAAAAGGGAGGGTAGTATTTTAAAAGATACATTTTAGAGAACCGAGGGGTCACTGTTTCTCAGTGAAACAGGCAATTCATAGTACACAGTACATGTTCTTTCTATACAAGGTCTCATTTTGCCTCTTATACTGAAGTGCCTCCCACTTTGGTGTGAGTAAGCCATCACATGCGGCCAGGCAACAGAATTCAGCTTGCAGGCAGCCTGCGGGCTCTCTGGGATGATCACTTCACACAACACCCTCCTCCCCGCCCCCCACACACACTGCGGGGCTCCGATGAGGCTCTGAGCAGGGATGAGCCCTTTAAACTAAACGTGAACAGCCCAGCACGGCTGGGTTTCCCCCCCTCCCCACAACATGTGGCTCCGATCAATCTCTCTCTCACCAGAAGTGCCTTCTCCAGGGTCATGGTCTGGGAGCATGCTTTGGGAGTGGGGGGAAGCTACTGGCTCCAGCATTAAGAATAGTTCCTGACTAGGGGGGAAAACAGATTCCCCACTTGTGCACTGTCCTCCTCCTCCTCCTCTTCGTTCTTCAAAAACTCACCCTCCTCACTCCGTGCTACTCCCCCCTTGTAGGTGTCCACGGACAGTGGTGGGATAGTGGTGGTGTCACCCCCCATAATTGCATGCAGCTCACGGTAGAAGCAGCATGTATGGGGCTGTGACCCAGAGCACCTGTTCCCCCCCTCCCACCGCCATGGCTTTTTGGTATGCTTGTCTGAGCAACTTGATTTTTGTATGACACTGCTCTGTGTCCCTGGAGTAGCCTCTTTCCGTCATGGCCCCGGAGACTTTAGCGTACGTATTTGCGGTTTTTTTTTTTTGGAACGTAGTTCTGCCATAACAGATTTGTGTCTCCAACATGCAATGAGATCCAGTACCTCCCGTTTGGACCATGCTGGAGCTCCTCTGTGAATCCGGGACTGCGTGGTCTCTTGTGATGATGAAGTCTGCATGGTCACCTGTGATGGTGGACTGTACTGATGGTCACCTGTGTTGATGGTGACCAAACAGGAAATTCAAAAGTTCCCAGGGCTTTTACTGCCTACCTGGCTAGTGCATCGGAGTTCAGAGTGTTGTCCAGAGCGGTCACAGGGAAGCATTCTGGGATAGCTCCCAGAGGCCAATATCGTCGAATTGTGTCCACAGTACCTGTAACCCGGAACTGCGATCTTGATTTTAGCGCTACTCCACTTGCCAAGGTGGAGTACAGAAATCAGAGTAAAGAGCCCTTTAAATCGAAAAAACTGGTTTGGTCGTGTGGATGGAATCAGCTTTATTTTGAGGTAACTCTGCTAATTCCGAAATAACCGCATACTGTAGAACAGGACTTAAAAGAGCAACACTCCGTGCAAAAACTACAGAACCCGAACCACCAAAAAAGAAAATCAACCTTTCTGCTGGGGGCATCTGACTCAGATGATGAAAATGAACATGCATCAGTCCACACTGCTTTGGATTGTTATCAAGCAGAACCAGTTATCAGCATGGACACATGTCCTCTGGAACGGTGGTTGAAACATGAAGGACATATGAATCTTTAGTGCATCTGGCACATAAATATTTTGCAATGCCAGCTACAACAGTGCCATGCAATCTCCTGTTTTCACTTTCAGGTGATATTGTAAACAAGAAGTGGGCAGCATTATCTCCTGCAACTGTAAACAAACTTGTTTGTCTTAGTGACTGGCTGAACAAGAAGGAGGACTGAGTGGACTTGTAGGCACTAAAATTTTACATTGTTTTATTTTTGAATGCAGTAAGTTTTTTTGTACATAATTCTACCTTTGTAAGTTCAACTTTCATGATAAAGAGATTGCACTACAGTACTTGTT